ATCGTAATCCTTGCTGGTGTGTAGACCAGGAGATGTGGGGGTGTCCCCTGGATGACACAGCAAAACTTGGTCCTTTCCAGATTTGATTCCATCTTTTTCCATAGATATCTACTGAAAGAAGGACTTCTGCTTAAAGGATCTAGCCCTGTAACTTAACAGTGGGCAAACCAAAGAATCTTTACGTGGCGGGGGGGCGGGGTCACAATCAAGATTCCAAGTTCCAAGTTTGAGCTTCAACCATCTGTCTTCCCAGTGCTAGCTACCTGCCTGAAAGATGTAGTCATGTGACCTCTGCTGTTAACCTGCTCCCAGGAATGCCTGTCAGCAGATCCCCACCACCCTGAGCTACTTCCAGGCCATTCAAAAACCTGAATGTGAGAAGAATATTCTGGATACTTAAGGCTTTTGGATGGTTTTTCCCCATGTAGAGAAAGAGCCTTTTCTGCAGTCACTATATGCAGCATCCCTTATAGCCCCAAAACATGGTACCTAGGGGATTCTGGGCAGTTAGCACCTCCTCCTAGACAGCCCCAGGGTGCATGCAGTCTCCCCTGTAAGTAATGTTGCACAGGTGGTTCACTGACTTATTTGTATGCCCCTCGACATCCTTTCATGTTCCTACCCTTCAAACCACTGCGCTGGCACCCTCACACACAGAGACACCTCGCCTAGGCTGATGAGCCCTACAGAGCTTCAAAATGCACAGCCCTCCATGTGAGTGAGATACTCAGGCTCCTCTTCTCCCAAAGCTCAAGTGGAGACAGAAAACTTGTTTCTGTTTGGTCTCTGGGAGAAAGAAAAAAACCCCTGCAAATCCCTGGGTAGAAATTTTCATTTTACAATTGTGGTATCACCTACGGGAACTGTCCTTCCAGCCCTCCCAAATGCATAAACACTTACGTACCCCTTGGTAAAGGTAGCTGCATGCCGATGCAGGTGCTGTCTGTCATGATGCCGGACTCTGGATAACGGGACTTGTCGTCTGGTTCTTCCCGTTAGAGTATAAACTCTTCGGAGTAACAAATTACTTCTGGTACTTTCTTTGTCATTCCCCAGCGCCTAATCTGGTGCTGCTCTGTGCGTAGCAGGTGTTCAATAAACACCACCGACAACTGAGTCCTAGCACTTGTAAATAAGAAAATGCCCACATTCACTGTTAAAGGTCTGGGGTTTGTTTTTCTAAAAATGTCTTGGGATTCTGTGTGTGTGTGTGTGTGTGTGTGTGTGTGTGTGTGTGTGTGTAGCAGACAGGGATGAATGCCTCGGGATGAAGGGAGAATGGACAATGCGCGGGGATGAAAATCAGAGGCCCACAGTGAGCCAGGCTGGCACACAGGGGCCTGCGGAGCCCCTTCCAGGTGTATTTATACACACGTATCTATTTTTAAAGGATGGAGCAACAATCTGATGCAAGACTTGGTGATTTCTGGCGCTTTATCCCCTCCCCCAGCTCAGCTGCAGGGAACACAGGCTCCAGGAGCCTCTGCTCTTAGAAGTGCACAGACGTCGGAACACACAACCTGGACCTCTGGGAAAGGTGACAGAGCTTTTCCTTCCAAAGTATGAACTCCTTCACAAAGCGAGGCGTCCACTCTGGGCTTGCTGACCCATGAGGGGGGCAGCCGCCACCCGACGCTGGTGCCAGAGAGGCCTAACCTCAGAAGACACCCCGCGGCCCACTGAGGACAGGAGGCACCACGGCCCCAGAGACAGATGTCCGTCCTGGCCTGAGAGGAGACACAACCCCAGCCAGGCTCTGCACTGTAATGGGGAGACGGGGTGCCGGGGGGCAGCAGTGAGCAGCCTCTGTCTGCCGCACGTCCCCTGCAGCTGGGAGCTGTACAGCGACAACAACCGGTCTAGAAAGATGAATCCCTTCCTACGGTTAATTCTTCCAAAACTGTTTGACTCTCTAAGAAATGGCTATAAAAACATCACGTTGCATCCCTGCTGGACTGCAAAGCAATCAGAACAAGGTAGTTAGGTGATGTACCTTGATGATTAAGCACACAAGCTCTGACGTGACAAAGACCTGCGTCTGAGTCCCAGCGCGCCCACTCTCTGGCTGTGGGAATTGCTGAGTTTCTGGAACTTTACAAGCCTTGGTTTGCCCATCCGTGAAGTGGGTCAAAAACAGCACCTGCCTCACAGTGACTTACCTCATCAAACATTTGGACACACGGTAAGCGCTCAGAATTAACGGCAGTTACTAGTGTTGTTCAGTGCTTCCTCCCGTTATGTGGGATTCATCTTCCACACGAACACTAGAACATGCAGGACAGTCGTGAGTGTGCACAGAAGTGTGGGTACTGGGTTCACACGGCCACGCCCAGATTCTCACTTAATGTGACTCTGCAGAATTCTGGGAGCAATATTAATGGTGGCCCTTGATGGACCGACCACCCAGCATGTACCACGCGCTTCACTAAATGTGTTACATTTGTTGTCACGCTGGATCCTCACGGTGTCAGGAGGCACGCATGACCATCTGCCCCATTTGACAGGCGAGGGAACAGGGCTGACAGAAGCTAAGTGACACACCCCACGGCAAAGCCGTCATGTGGGGACCCACAGTGTGACCCCGGCCAGTCTGGCATCGGTCCACACTCTTGCTCAATGTGGCACACTGCTTCCTGAGCCTCTTGGTGACCCCATCTCCTAGCTGTTGGCGGGTATGGAGAAGGCTGGGGGTGGGGGGCCACAGCCGATGCACTGGTGGGTCCCAGTGAGCCCGGGAGGGAATGCATGAAGGGCTTCCACAGCACAGCTGACCAGACCCGGGTGCTCGGGTGTCAGATCACCCCCACATTTAAAAGCCCCTGAGAGCATCATGCTTTCCAGCACCGTGCAATGATTTTCACTGGGACATCGAGAAAAATCAGATTGTGTGCTAAGATGGGAAACTGAGGGGGGAAATGGGTGACAGATGCAAGGGGCAGAGTCCCCAGGGACGGATCACCAACAATGGACGCCCCGTGACAGCGTTTCACAGATATGACCCCGCTTTTCAAAGACTGTATACGATTCAAGTCAGGCTGAAGAAACACCAACTCCCGGCACCTCTGGATAGCCTTCTGTGAACCCTCACCTGTTACTCTGACCCATCGTTCAACTTAGCCCAGTTTCTATCAGGTATTGAGACGAAAAAAATCCCTCGGTCCACGCTGTGCCTCTCGGGTCAGAATCCGGCTTTGGTGTCTTTAGCCAGTTAGCAGTTCAAGGTCCCATGAGTGATCCCATCAGATACTTGACAGGGAGAATGGAGATGTGAAGATTATTCAAACACACACGTGCACACACACACAGACACACGCTCACACGCACACACAGGCACGCACGCACACCAAAACCTGAGGGAAAAGGCCGTCGTGGCCTTCGTGGCAGCGGTCACCCTCGGCCACGGCCCTCGCTGGTGGAGGACAGGGCCATGTCACAGCTCCCCCGTTCCAACCTTAGCTCGCTACCCCTGATGCTTGGGCCTGTTTTATTTTGCTCACATCGTATTCTCCAGGCTCCACAAAAACAGCTCTCAAAGTTTCAAAATGAAGCTTATCAGAGGGTGACCGCGTGAAAAACATTTAAACCAAACTTGACAAGCTCTTAAAACAGGCATTTCAGACCAACAGAATCGTAACCATGACACCTTCCACCCAATCTAGCTCTGGCTTTCTGAGCAGGCAGACAGCCCCTTTCCTCATGGCCCAGGCTCACCTCTGCCTGCCTGCGCGTCTGGACACAGGGGACGCCCCATCCCTGCGGGTGAGGGTCCCCAGACTTAACAGGTGAAAGTACTGGACGCTCAGTTACGTTTGAATCGCAGATTTACCATGAATTAAGTGCCATGCAATATTTAGAGCACATTCATATTAAGAAATTATTTGTTGTTTATCTGAAATTCGGCTTTCACGGGGCAACCCATGTCTTACCTGCCACGTGCACTGGAGGCTCGGCCCCGGGGACCTGGGATGGGTGGGGGCTGGGCTCACTAGGGTACTCCTGTCCTGGCCCAGGGCCCCTCGCCCACTCTCCCACTGGCGCTGCTCTAGGAGGCTCCCCGGCCCCCTCTGGCTGTCAGCACCCCACGCACCCCGTGGTCTGGCATCTTCCCTGCTGCACGCAAACCCTTGAAAGAACGCCATGTGATCGTGTCTTGTTTCCGGGAAAGGCTGCTCACAGGCTCCGGGGGCTCCTGTCTGGAGCCTGCTTTCATTTTCCTCTTCACCCTCACAGACCCCTCCTGCCCACCGTGCTCAGAAGCCAACACACACATTGGTGTGTGTTCTTCTGTCATAATTTCAAGACCTGCATGAAAGCGAGGGCTGACCAGCATGCCAACCTTTGCAGTGGGAGACCCCCCAGTCCTGAGCCTGCCCCTGTCCCTAGACGCCCTGTCCCCTCACTACTGGGAGCGCTGTTCAGTGCAATGACACACATTGAAGGAGAACGGTGAAGAAGGAGCCCTCGGCTTCAGGCTTCCAAGTGTGTGCCGGCAGCCAAATGGCTACAGCTAAGCCATAAAATGCATGGAACAAGGAGAAGTGTAGACAGAACAATAAAGCAAGGGGGAGATGAATGACGCCATGATACAATCTGTTTTCATTTCGTGCAGAGAAAATTAATTTTTGAGGACATTTCACTTAACCTGGCAATATTTTGCGGTTTAACCTCAAATGCTTGAAGCTCCTCTCTCTTATCCCCTTTAAGCGTAGGGCAGGGGAAGCCCGTTTTACGACTGGCTGTAAGTCCTGCCTCTCGGCGGATGACCAGCCTTGCTGCCTCTGTTCAGGGCCGTGTGCACTCAGGGAATAAGAGCTACGCTGACCATAATTCTCAGCTCATCACCTCCCACTGAGACATCCACTGTAACAGTGATTCAACCTCCCAAAGAGCAAACGCGTTACCTTCCAGAGCAAGGCACCGGGGTGGGCTGGTCGACCAGATGAGGCTGTGTAAGCACTCGAGGTGCTCGGCCCCCTCCAGCTTGTATCCAGGGAAGCAGTGGTAGGAGATGACCGTCCCCACGGGGAAGGAGGTCTGCAACTCGGAGATGTTCGCATAGCCGTTGGAAGAGGTGAGAGGTCTCAGGCAGCCTGTGACGGGGGAAAGAGGAGGGACGGTCACACTTGGTCCCCACTGTGCACTGACGAGACCTGTGAATCCCTGGCCCCCTGCGGGTCCACCCGCTGCAAACGTGACATGGCCTCCGAGGCTTGCGCCTCGGCCAGACGCCCGTACCCACTTTCCTGTTCTATTCATGACACGGACATTTGGTGTCACGCTTACAAACCACACGGAGAGGCCCGGAAGCAAGGAGGAAGTGATGGAGGGCACAGCTGAAATCGGGGAGCCCCAAGTGCACCTCACAATCACCCAAGGAACTTTGAACAAACGCCATCCCGGCTGCAAGCCCTGGGTCTGTGCACAGGCTGGGCACCCTATCTTTATTAAAGATCCCAGGTGATCCTAACGTGCTGTTGGGGTGAGAACCACTGAGCTGCTGTGCAGGAATCATATACCCCAACTGTTTCGATGGTGGGGAGCCTGGGGGGTCTCGAGAAGGTGGTGGCGGAAACCCCCTTCCACTGCGTGGACTGTGGGGCAGGTGCCTGCTGACCCCACACAATTCAACGTCAAGATCGATTTGTGTTTTATGTGCAGTTTATGTGGCTCTCAACCTTGAGGACGACCCAGGGAAAGGGCGTCTCAGAACACACCCCACTGGGCCCTCCCGTGGGGCTCCCCGGACAGATCTGCACGGAGCCCGAGGACGCCCACGGCAGGTGTGGGGCCAGGCGCCAAGAGCCCCCACAGCACACCCAGAATTCTCCATGCCGTCCGCGTCCCCACACTCCTGCTTCTGCAAAACGGAAGAAGCTGTCTTTCCGTCTCGAAGCCCATGCAGCCCGTGGAACATCCCTGGCGGCGCAGAATCCCATTTTGTGAGGACCCCATGGCGATCCTGGGATTTCCTATTGGCTTCAGCGGTCTCACTGGATGGAATAATGACCCTGCAGAGCTGGGGCTCTGCCCGGGGAGAACTAATTGTGTGTGAAGTAAATAGTGTATAATGGAAATCCCGACTTTCCCTTCCAGTCGCCAAGTACAAATCACATGACACCCACGGCAACAGATGCCTGAGCTCTGCTCCCGAGCTGACTCGCTTCAATGTTAGAAGCATTGAAGGGCTTCGTGCTCCGTGGACTGCTCTGGTCAGCGACACGGTACACAGTGTCTGCATTTTGGGACGAGTCCAGGGTGAGGCCAGGGAGGCCCTGGCATGCAGAATTTAGGGAGACGCTCCCTCTGGGGCTGACCATGTCCCGGTGCCACAGAGATCCTCGACCCACCACCCACCACCACCCAGACCACATCGAGACATGTGGCCACATCCTTTCTCCACGGCCTGAAAGGAGTTTATGTCTGAGCTGAGCATGGACAGTGTTCGCAGCGAAAGTGAAATGCTGGGGAGCAGGGGAGGTTGGGAATCAGGAATAAAGAGAATCTAGGACTGAGAAAAACAAGATAAGCATATTAACATGAACAAGTGAACGTATCAAGCCCCTCAGAGCCGTTCAAACGAGTTGGCACAAGGGACGGTGCCCGTGCCTCCTCCCAGGAAGGAGTGTTGCTCCCGGCCGCCCACACGGACGAGCTGGTGTCCCCTAAATTAAAATGAACGGGCCCACAGTGAACAACAGGCATCCGGACGCTGCTCTCCAAACCACAAAGTTCCCACGGAAAATGTGGCCTAGGAACAGCCCCCCGCCCGCTCGCCTGCCCCAAAAGGAGTCAGATGGGGTTATAACTCCAGTAGTACATCAGGGAAAGAAAGACACGCTCCTCGGTTGGAGACCGCCGTCCTAAACACAGCAGCAGAAATCGGGCTTTGACTCGATAGTTTGATGCAATTTCTATTTGCACTTCCAGGCAACAGCGAGCCGGCTCCTCAGGCTCTCACCCCTCCATCTGCAGGTGTGAATAAAAGCCACAGGACGAGACGTCAGTCTGAGGGCCAATTATGTCCCCCCTGGGGCTCCAAGGTGTCTGGTGTCTAAGGCCACCAGATCCCTCACGCCCCTGCTGTGCCAGGCAGGCGGGCCGCTTGGCAGCCAGGCCTCCACCTGCCTCTGTGTGGAGAGGCCTGATGAAGGGACAGAGGGTCCCAAGGAGGTCCAAGGGGCCAGGTGAGCAAGGAGAAGGCCGCACCTGAGCCCCTGATGAGGACACCGCCATCAGACATTTCTTAAGAAATAACTGGGACCAAAAGAGCTCGTAAAGAGGCGCACAGTATTTACGAGACCTACAAGGAAGAAACCTCTAGAAAGGGTGGGAGAGCGGGGGTAAGCGGGAATCATGAGGCAGAGGTGGCTGGTGTCGGGGGGAGTGTCCTTGGCCCCAGGACAGGAGCAAATCAGTGGTCCGTAAGGTTCACTGAACATTCAGCCCGACCTCAGGTTGCATGCCGACTCTGCAGAGCACCCCTGGAAGTGCCCCTGAATCACGTGTGTCCCTGGAAATGGCATGTGTGGCAGGCCACACAACACGGGGGTTTCTGCAGAGAAGTGAATGGGGAGGGGCCAGTCTGGGCGCCCTCGGTCCTCCCAATCCCCGAGCCTTTGTTCTTGCAAGGGGCCATGACTCTTCAGCCCTCACAGAAGGAAATCATTTATTTCCAACCACGGGGCACACAGAGCAATATCAGAGCCCGCCAGCCGTGACTTCGAGCCCAGTGTTAACATTTGTCTCGACTGGAACATGCTTGTGCTCTGGTGCAAACAGACTTCCTCCGCTGAAGCATGAATTATGCATTGGCTTCCAAGTCACAGGTCAAAAAATAAAATCGGAACTAATGTGCACACTAGGACTTATTTTCACAAACAGGGCCCTCCATGTTGGCCCAGCCAAATCTTAAAAATGCAAGAGGATTCATATTTACTGTGTGGTTTGGATAAAATCTGAATTTGATTATTTTTCTGCTCTTCGTGCATTATAAAAAGGGATGACATTATTAAGAAAAAATAGCCTCTGTAAGATTGGCCTTAAATATATCCTCACTACCACTAAAATAAGCATAAATGCTCTGCTATTTCCATTAAATATACAACAGTTCATCATCGTGCTCACAGCCCTTCTTACAAATGCCTGTTTCTTAAACGACTTTTGGTTTCTCAGCGTGGAGGAGAATCCAGCATTGCTCAAGAATAAGGGATTCCAGTCTACGCTCTCACAGTGGGCATGTGGGGCTGGCGGGGACGGCAGGGAGGGTGTGGGGACTCTGAGACCAGAGCCGATGGGCCCTGCTTCCCTCCACGTCCCGCTGGACAGACACGTGCGTGCTCACGGCCGCGCCCCCACCTTGACAGAGAGGCAGGTTGTCCCACGTCCCGTCACCACCACACAGCGACACCATGTTGTACAGGTCCGGGTAGCGGATGTTGAATCCTTCGTGACAGGTGACGATCAGCTTGTCTCCGTGCCTGTACGTCTTGTTATGAATCTCAGCGTCGTCAATTTGAGGGATACGGCAATCTGCAATTGTGTAAAAAGGACACGTTATTTTTTTAATTTAAGCTGGTTGTGCTTCACAGCGTGACAAGAAAGCTCTTATTTTCAGACCTGGCCTCAGGCTACCCTGTGGTAAACGGTCCTCACTCACTGCTAGGCTCGGATCCCAAGGGCCAGCAGCAGAACCCGCTTCATGGGGACAGAGGAGGAGGTACCGGATCCAGCCACGAAAGGAACTTTACCTCCTGCCTGCGACCCTTCACACCATGCTGTTGAGCCTCGGGCGATTTTGGAAATAAGTGAAGAAGGACAAGAGTTGGGGGCTCACGATGTCCCCACCCACCCGGCCCACCACATCTGCCTTGGGGCATGAGATAGAAAGGCCTTGCTGAACAGCGGGGGCCGCATCTGCTAGCACTTCCCTCCGACCTGATCCGCTCTGCACAGGTAATAATACAGCAGCACGTGCGGCCGCCAACACCACACAGGCCCCCAGCGAGCAGTGTCGGGGCAGGATGCAGACTTGGGAGGGGAGGCGGCCAGCCCGGCGTCGGGGGCAGAGGAACAAGGAGTCCAGACAGCAGGTGATTAAGAGAGAAAACCAAGTGGATAAATTATAGTCCTCCTCCTCTAACGCAGTCTCCTCCCAGTTTACTGCGCATCCCCCCACCCTGTGCCACCAGCCTGGGCCCTGCTCCCTCCTCCCACCTCTCACGGCACACCTCGGTCCCAAGTCTCTGACTTTATGTGGAAGCGGAAGCTACATATTTCCACTGCTGGAGTCTGGTGGGCCCTGCCTCACAGATGGGTTGTGCTCTAAGCTTCTCAATTTTTAAAAATAAGGCAAGGTCCAAGAACAGCGTTTTGACAATCACAGAAACTTTCTCCAGAAATTTCTCAATGCTCTAAAAGACTGTGGGTTTCTCAGCCACCCCAAAAGCCTTCTGAATCCACCATATGGTTGAAATGGTCTCAATTGGAGCCTTGACCTTGGGGTTCCCCTAAGCTTGAACTGTCGGCTCTGAAGCCTGAGCCTGGGAGTCCTGAAGCCTCGGAGGGAAGACACAGGGCCAGCCCGTGGCCGAGAACACAGGTGGCTTTAAAAAGCACGCCGGGGGCTTCGATATGGGGTTGGGGAATTTGACAACAGACTCTAGAAAACAGAATGTCAGCGATGGGGCCGCCCGGTGCCGAAGGGAGAGCACAGGGATGCGGCCATCTACTGCCTCCCGGGGTCTTTCAAAGTCAAGGCTTGGGTGCAGCGTCTGCCTGTGTCTCCGTGTCAGCTCAAGAGGGACAGCACCGCCCGCGTTCTCCCACGTGCCCTCCACACTCCCGGACTCCGCACATGGCTGGCAAAGAGGAAATGCTGAGGAAGTGGGGCCCCCGAGCCCCGGGACTCCCCCAGTCCGTTCCTCTGCCTGTGGATTTCAGCAGGAAGCGTCCTTGCTGGAAAACTCTTCTGGTTCTGGTTTGACCCTCGTTTTTGAGCTTCAGGCTGTGGAAAGGGGTTTCCAACCGCTCATGTTTAACCCATAATTTTTCTACCAAAATAGACAAATTCCCCCCAAATCGATGCCAGAATGATCCTGACCGGGGTCACAAGGTGAGCGACAACTCTGCTCGGCATTGCTACCTTCTGAATGGGAAACGTGAATTACCTTTTTCAGTATTGCTATGCAGGAATTATTTGCAGCGAAGACTACGCCACCATTCCCTGACTGACTTCAGACTTGTCCAGGAACTGACCCAGGTCCTCAGGAGGCAGCCAGCATCAGGGAGTAAAGTCAGTGGACAGAGTGACGCCAGGGCCTGTGGGTTGCGGTCGGTCACGCGGAGCGCCCTGAACTCCTGACCAGACGCCTGTCTCCACAGGTAGGAGCTGGGGGCCACCGTAGGGTACGTGGTGCAAGGTCCCAGGGCACTACAGCCTCCCAAGCTCTGCTCACGGCAGAGTCACCATGGGGACCGGCCCCTGCGGGACAGGGACACACGCCAAGCGGGGAGCGGGAGCCACCCCCCGGAGCCGGGGCTAAGATTCTAGCCACGGTGTCTGGCGCCTGACCCCCCACCGAAGGAGGGCGGATCGGAAGACAGCCTGGCCCAGCCAGCCGTCCGTAGCCGGATGTGACTATACACCTCATGTCTATGCAGACAGAGAAGCCAGGATCTTTAGTACCCGAAAATGAATACATAATCTTCATCAGTTCTGAAGTTTCAAACAGAAATAACACAAATTTTCTATAACACAAGTGCATCCCACTGGCAGAAAGAATGTTTAAAAACCGCTGCAAAAACACCGTTACCAAGGACGATGAATAAAGGTCTGTTGGTATCTGACTGTGCCGGGAGTGGGGCCAGCGATCAAACCCTACGTAGGCGGGCGCAAACGGGCTTTGGGGATGTAACTGAGGGATCGCAAAGCCTCCCCTTCTAGAAATCCTCTCTCCCCAGCCCACCCCATCGCTGCGTCCAACTCCTGCTTGTGTAACAGAGGATTTAATATAAATAAATGAAAGAGGGGATATTCAGGCAGTATTACACATTTATTTATACCTAAGGACAAATTAATTGATCACATCAGTTAGCACAGAGCAGGATCCTAAGGAGTAGAAAAGGCAAAGTTTTAAGAATACAAACACACATGTGATTTACTGTCCTTTTTAAATGTCAGTTATATGTGAACATGAATCTGATTCCTTCAAGTGCCAACTTCTGACACCCATTCTCCCTAAAAAGTGCTTCCAGGAACGTGCATACATAGTACACACTGGACATGCAGCATTCATATCCACGTGGGAAAGGCGCTGGATTGCTGCTGGATTTTGGTTACACCAGCATTTATAATGCTCGGTATTCATTCATCCATCAGTTTCATTCATGCCTCCATCCGTCCGCCCATCCGTCAGTCCGTCCATCCACCCATCATCCATCGGTGAATCGCTGAGCACCCAGCCTACCTGCAATGTGTCCCAGGTGCTGGGCATAGTCAGGAATCGTGCTCTTGCCGCACCCGCGTGGAGAAGGACCGCGAACAAGTTAGCAGATACGTGAGCTAGAGACTAACACGCCGTGATCACCGCTCTGACGAACAGGTGCCAAGGTCACAGAGACCGACCAGGGGCCCCTGGAATCGGGTGGACAGGACAGGCACCCTGAGGAAAGGACAATGAAGAAGCAGAGCCGCAGAGCAAGGAGGCCTCATCGTGCGGATCTGGGAGAAGGAGGCTTTGGGCAGAGGGACAGCAGGTGCAAAGGCCAGGAAAACGCAAGTGTCCGTAAAAACACGCAGATGGGCCCATGAGTCTGAGATCCAGTGAGCAAGGGCAGACAAAGGCCTTGTAGACTGGGGCATACCATATTAGGTAGTTATGGACAGGGCTGGAAAGAGGTCATGCTTTTGAGAAGCTTTCTGGTTTCCGGGGTGATAAAACAACAGAAGGCCTTCATCTCTGGGCAATATTCATGAAGCCTACTTGTTCTCTATTTCCTGAGATGTTCCTGAGCTTGTCTGGGTTTTAAACACGGAGTGTCTTGGGCCAAAAGTCTTATCAGGGGAGTCGATCTCTGAAGCCAAATAAACTTTTAATTACTGAAACCTGATGGGAACAACAGCTTTTGCATGGGCTGCATGTGAGCAGAAAATGTTCATTGACTTTCAAAAACCTTCTTAAGAATTTTTTTATTTTCAAGGGAAAGCTTGTTCAATGTAACCTGCCAGATTGCAAAGTTAAAGAGGAAAAACCACACATCTATCGCAGTAAATACAGAGAAGCGTTCTGTATCCATGCAACACAGACTCCTAACTAAAACACGGAGAAACCCTCTTCCCTAACACACAACGTCTATGCGAATCCCACAGTGCGCGTTCTTGTGAATCGTGACTCTGACTGTTGTTAACTGAGGTATAACTGACAAACCACATCCTATTGCTGTCGGGTGTAACCACGGTGATCCGTATTTCAAACCTTTGGACATGGCCGCTGGGGAGTCCCCGTCCGTCCCCTCCCACGGTGGTCACAGTACCGCAGACGGTACCCACCCCCGGCACGTTCCCTCCCGCGCCTCACCTCACAGCTGCAACCCTCTGGCCGCCCCAACCCGCCCCTCCCACGGGGGCGATCTCCGCATTCACGGGTCCGTTTCTCTTTTGTTCGTTTCTTTCCTCATTGAGATTCTGCCTGTCACGCGCATTCGTCTTTCTCTGTCTTACTTCACCTTAATTCTTTGTACTAACTTTGACTTTTTAAAAAAACACCTTGAAAATGAAAGCAGAGACAGGGCGTGCTCTCAGCCTAGGGCAGCGACTGTCCGTGCTCAGGGACTACCGAATTCAGTGCTTCGAGGACTTCCATAGAGACGAGCTATGCGAAGTCCGAGAACAGTCACCGTCAGGGTTAGAAGCTCTGTCCTCACCCTCAGATGCGGCAGTGTGCAGAGACTGAGCTGTTGCCATGAAGGCCGAGCCTCGCCTGCATCAGCTCCATGGCTGCGGAGATGGTTGGCCCCCTGCCACCGCCCAGTGAACCTCTGAGCACTGTTCTCAACTCAGACGCACCCACACAGCGTAACCACAAAGAGCAGATGCAGCTATGCTTGCCAGACGTAAGCGAAACCTCACTGCGACGAGCAACCATGGCGTCACCGCGGCAAACACACGTCCACCTGCCGGCCTGTCACGGCCCCACTCTGTCTCCCTAAACGGATCCCGCCTGAGACAGACGCGACGGTAACTGAGCCGATCTTCTGAGCACCATGCGTCTCTGCATCAGCACGCGCAGTTTGGACCTTTACCGTGCTTTCTCGAGCGCCGAGGCCATGAGTACGTGGCTGGTGGGTGGCGCAGCAGCGAGCAGCCCGCACGTGCCCTGAGCTGCTCTCCTGCCCTGACAGAAACGGGACGACCTGGGTTGTAATCACGGTAGAGGAGAGACAC